CATTCGCATTCACGTTTTACGTGCCTTGTGCCGCGATCAGTCTAATCCGGTACCGAAATATCGCGTGTAAAACGAAAGCGTTTTTCATAAGTTCTGTCCATTTATAAAATTATATAAAACAAGAATGTTATAGCAAGCATCGAGACAATCTGCGTGTAAAAACCGCTCGACTCGGGGCTCTTCGCACGCGGAACTAAAACGACGAGAGCTATTATCTCACGGATAACTCAAGCGGAGAAGAATAATTACATACATAAAATACTTGACAGTAACTCCGACTAGATGTAATCGCGGTGACTTTCGTGACACTCGGTAGACGCGCCGCGCCGGTAGCAACTAAACAGCTGACGGTTCTAAAACCGCGCTTAAACAAGCAAACGCGGGGCCGCGAAACAGTGACGGATCAATGCGCGACAACAGATGTTTTGTATACACACGTGGGTTGGACTAGTTCCGTAGATTAGCTAAATTAACGCTAATTAACGCGCGAAAAAGGCAAGAGAATGTCGGCGACGAGCGAAGCGACCACCGTGCTGCTGAAGAAAAGAGAAAGGACGCAGAATTGGATCCCCGAGGAGAAGAGCGCCCTGTTCTCCCTCATCAAGCACCATGTGAGCGCGATCGAGAACAAAAAGATCGACGCGGCCGCGTCCGCGAAGAAATCTGTCGCCTGGCAAAAGATTTACTGCGCGTTCCGCGGCCAATTCTCCGCTGATCGGGACATTACCAGGATCAAGGAGCAGTGGCGGAGGATGAAGGCGCAGGCGAGGATGGAGATGTTCTCGTACGCCGAAAAGGTTTAGATCGCGTAAAATTATTATTCGAGAGGCACTTCTTTCCCTTTACTAAACTAAGGTGATCTTAAAAAGGGAAGAGAGCAATTCATTAAAAAAAAATTCAATATTGTAATTTAATTCTGACAGGTAAACATTCTTTTATAATTGTTAATGAAACACATGAACAGTATTATATTATTATATTTGTAAATAACTAATGACACTTAATTACATTATTCAAGTTATGAGATTACATTTTATTTTTTAAAATTGTACTTTTCTCTTGAATGTGTTTTACAAATGAGATATCTGAGTTTTTAAATAAAAATCAAAATTTTTTATACGTTATATTTGAAAATTATATATTTTACACTTATTATTTTCACATTTAAAAGAAGGATAATTCATAATTGTTAATTAATTGCGACAAAATTTGGAACGTTTTGAAATGAGACGAAGAGTTAAAATTCGGGGATGGCCCCTCCTAATTTGGAACGGTTGGTCACCATTCTAAACTCTCTTTTCTTTTTCTGATTTCTTCCCCGCCTTTGGTCACGCGCAGGTACGAACCCTGGGACCGGACGTGGCCGCCAAATCTCGTCCGCCGAATCTCTCGATCGAAGTGTGGCGGCTGATGGAAAGCGTGCGCAAGAACGATTCCGAGAACACCGATCGTTCGGACGATAGTCAGGACAATGAGAATCCACTGAATCGGATGGCGATACAGGCGATCCTGGATAAATTGACATTACCCATGGAAACGCCAGGTTGAAATATATTGACTATCGCGATTTTTTTTTTCATTTTTTTTCCTCGAGCTTCCGGTTGCTAATTTTTAAAAATTGTTTTGCGCAAAATTATAGAAATAATTGTTTAGAACCGGAACAGGAGATTAAGATCGAGGTCAATAGCGATACCGAGGACGAGAGTAATCACGGCGAACTGTCGCGACAAGTGTCGGAGGACGATTTCTTGCAGCAGAAGCGTCCCAGGATCACGACCGAGGACGAGCCCGTCGATCTTGAGCACAGAATCACTTGCCCTGACAGTGCGTCGACGTCCCGCGTCGGCAATGGTACTTGACGTTTCAATGCATTCGGTAGACTCGAGTTAAGTGAGCGCTTGCTCTGTTATTGGTATATTCTTCTAGATCATCCATTAGCGGATCCAAAAGTTTCTCAAGGAGGAACCATTGTTTCGCCACAAGCAAAATTTTTTTAAGTTCAAATATGTGAAAAGATTATAGAACATTAAATTATTACATTGAAAAAGTATTATTTAAAATTTAAATGTATAATTCATACATTACATTCATATATCAAACATATAATTCATACATTACATTCATATATTAAAATATATAATTCATACAAAAATATAAATAATTCAAACATTTTATTTCAAATTATATTAATATAAAAGAAGAATAATATAATAGAATCTATGTTTTTTATATCTAGGAATATATTAAAATTGTGATTAAACATTTCAGAAATATTGAAAAAAAAATATATATATAACATTTTGCTACGAATTCTTTGAAAAAAAGAAGACTCCGAGGGAAGGGCCATGATTTCATGATCATTCACCAGTGAAATCATCCAATCAGACGTTTAGATCTAAAAGAATACACCAATAGCAGCGAGCACTCGCTTAACTGTGAGTCCACTGAATACGGCGCAAAAATTGTGTTCAATCCAAATCTTACTCGTCAACGACGAGATCTTAGCGAAATGTTTTATTTTCGAGCGGTGGAACACAACGACACGATGAATGAGCTCGAGTGGAACAACGGTCTGGCAACCTGCGACAAAGATAAATCGGTACAAAGAGCGACATGGATTTTCAAGTCTACCCAACGCGAGCACGAGATCAAGCTGCGGATGTTGCACATTGAATTGGAGCGCGCGGAGCTGCAGAAGCAGGCTGCCGTTAATGAGCTGAAAACGTCCGAGCTCAAGAAACAATTGATGCAGGATCAAGTCAATGAGTACTACAGGTCGGATCCGGATGACTTTAATTATCCCCGTTTTTACCAATGTAGTTTAATTTATTTTCGGTTCAATCAACTCTTCATCTTTTTCTAGTTCTAAAATTAGAAAAAAAAATTAAAAAGGAGTCGAATTAAGGTTAAAGTTAATCTACATTGGCAGAAACAGGTAATAATCAATTAAATTAATAAAATGCTCCGATTAAATTAATTCGACAAAATTTCTCACAGCAAAGTTTCTCATTATACATATAAATCGTTATTCTTATAATTTAATTTTTCTTTTCATTTCTTGGATAAAAAATTAATCTCCAAAAAATTAGTAGAATACAGATATTGCGTAATCAAGTTAATTGGAATTTAGTTGAAATCACTCCGAGGAAGTAATTGCGTTTGAATCTATGGAATTCACAATATTCCCGACACAAGCGCCACGATGCCAACCAGTCGTAGCTGAGTTTCGCGTTCTAAGAATAGTGTTTCGTTCATGACTCGTTCATCAGCTTGGCCTGTCGGTTTGCCAAGTTTTCGCCATCGCTAGCCTTCAGATCCAGACTATTTCGTGATCGGAAAAATGCAACGATCGATTACAACGTTTTCGCGAAGCATCTCTGCGTTAAGGTATCGGAAGAATTCCGCGGCTTTAAGTCGAACAATTGGTCGATCGTTTTTAATTCATACTTTATACCCGGCGTTTTCCTGTCGCAAACATAGATCCCGATATCGTCTTTATTCGCAGTAATTCATACCGACGTCTTCTTCTTTTCGAATTTAGGAATATCTTGTCTTCTTACATATGTAAATAGTTGTGTATTTTTTCAGCATGGCTCAGATCTGTGATATGACTCGAGTAGATGCCATATCAAAATTATGTAATAATTATTAGGCGGAAAGTATAGCTGATATAACCCCTGAATAATATTTTATTTCTAAGCGGAGCTTTTCGCAGTTGCAAATGCAATTGCTGCATGCAGCAAAAACTGCCAATTCTTTCATATGATTGGTTATACCTTTAGATCCAGCAAGAAACTAAGAACAAAAATCAATTATATTAAAGAACCTTACAATAGTTGTTTTTTCTACTGAACACAGCTATTGTTATATTTAAAACGTACTTTGTTACAGTCAAGTGAGAATGGTTGGAGAACGTGGTTCGGGTGCTGGCAAGGGAGGAGGTAGTGGCGGTACTATTCGTGATGCTGGTGGTTCTTTCGGAAAGATGGAAGCTGCCCATGAGGATCAATACTTCTATAATCTGGTCAGTATATATTTCAGTATTAATTGTTTATCAGATCAACGATCTCATTTGTTTACACAAGTCTGAAATGTTATTTCAGCAAAAGGAACAGTTACAAAAGATGCGAGAGAGTTTGCACGATGAGATCTCATTCCACGAGGAACAGATCAAGCGTCATCAGGAGGCTATTAATCGTCACAAAAAGCGAATTACAGATATGGATCAGAAAGAGTGAACAAAGTTATATTAGCGTGATACTCCAGCTGATTGGCGGTTTTATTATTGGTTTTGATGTAAGAAAATAGATTGAAAATAGTAGACCTAACGGGAGTATCACGGTCTTCTGTATAAACTGTTACATTACATAGATATTAAATGTAATGCTCTTAATATATATGTTACTTGAATATTGAATGATGTTTCCTTGTATATTGTATGGATCGTTTTTAACGAGATTATCGATACTTTGTACTTTGAGGTGTCTGCAAGATGCAGTATACTGCAATATACTTTAAAATAAAATGTATCTTTCATTGTTGCTTAACCTTTTCTTGGACGTTGAGCCATTTTCGAGGCGCGCCAATTCTGATGCTAGTTTGTTTTGTCCCCGTTTCGTATAACCTCGTCAAATAGTTTTCCGTTTAATAAATAGTCAAATTCACGTTTACGTAAAGTATACATTCTACGTAAAAATTTTTTTTATCAATATCACAATGCTCGGACGTGTTTTCAGAAAAACTTGCAGATATAGGTATTCAATTCAAAATATATTTAATTCACTGATGATGTATTCCACCATGCTTTGCATGCTTTGGGTTATTCTTCCTAACGCTCTGATATAAAAAATGAACTATTCCTTCCAGCTTTAGACATCTTAATGAAAGAAAGAAGCACGATTCGAAGATGGATCAGACGTCGTTCGGCGACATTGCGTGTGAAACAGAATATTATTACAAGCAGGTGACGAAAATATTTTCGTAAAACGTCATTTTAGAGTCGATTGGTAGCTGCGACGTAGTAAGGCGTTACGAATAATCAGGACAGGAAATTGCTGAAAGTCGTCAAGGAGAAGACGCAGAACGAGGTGAAACACATGCAGAGAGAAGTGCAAATCATGAAGAACAAGATTGATGAATACAATCGCGGCATAAGCGAGAATCTGAGATTTCTGAAAAACCTAGAGAAAGATTTATCTGCTGGCGACAAGAAGACCTAGGCAAACGAAACTTCTATATAAACTTTCAAAAAAATGCAGAATAAATATATTAATGGATTTATCGATATCCATGATATAAAGCAATAACAAATTTCACTCGTAAATTGCTTAATGTTTATTCCGACACACACACATATATATATATATATCTAACGTGTTTATGTGTATATGAGAAAATATGCTGTATCGAATATATAATTGAGTTAATTAATTTTTAAACCGTTTTCTTTCACAATGATATTAAGGACTGGCTTATTAAATTTGTGAAATGTCTCAATTTACACAATTATTGTGGGGCACCATGTATCGTATAGAAACTTTAACGATCTTACTTTCTTCTTTTCAATGTCTCTTAAAATAAATTTTTTAATATTTTTCAAATATTTTCATTGTCGCTTTCATATCGATAATAGGATTTTTAATCGCATCGACGAGGTTTCTATTAAGGAATCAAATAATAATTAAGATTATTATTAGCGCATTACTATTAGAGCAGTATCAAATTGACCATGGAATTAAGATTTGAGATATTGATTGCAAAAATTGGCATACGAATATGATTAATTACCTAGATCTTATAATAATAGGATTTTTAGGGCTGCTATTTATAGTCCTTATTTTAAGATTGTCTTAAGCGATGTCTTAAGATGCTAATGCGGCTCTCTTGAAGATAGTCTTAAATTTAGGACTCAACTTTAAAATACTGGCCTACACTACAAATTCAAGTGTGTATGTACAAAGTGATCGCTATATATGTGTGCGTGCGTGCGTGCGTGCGTGTGTAATTATTAGAGTTTGAGCGAAATTTCAGTTTCGGTTTCGGCCGAAATTGAATGACCGAATTTGACAACCGAATATTCGTTTTCGGTTTCTAATAGGGCCGGACTCTAATAGTGATTATATTGACTTTCCCTATAAAAATGACATTATATTATACGTTTAAATGTGTAAATCCATTTTTGATACAGGTATAGGGTGTTATTTTAACATGGAAAACTAACATGACCTACATACTTATATCGTAATCACTTCTTTCCTACCCTTGGACTATTCAGGCGATTGGAACGAGCGTTCGTATTTGGCGCCAACGGGCGAGTGACTCGACGCGACTCGACGCTTTCAGCGGGACTCGCTCGGTCGATGGGAGATGGCGGTGAGCGCGGGCACACGGCGCAGCGAGGCAGCGCCACTCTAGCATGGCGGCGGCGGGCAGTCGGGTCGGTCTGGTCGACGGACCGATGGTAGCGGGCGATCGTCGCGCCGCCCAGTGTCTCGCGGTTCATCGATCAGTGTGGTGTGTGTCGCGCGTTGTTGTTCCGGGAGATCTTTTTTTTCTCCCCTCTCCCTCGAGTGGTTCTCTGGTCCGTCCCCGACGTTTATTACGAGTATACCGTCCTCGCGCCGTCATCTTACGCGGAACGTCGTCCAACGTCGTCTCGCCGGTCTCGCGCCTTTCCTTTCACGTTCCCCGTCAATTCGTGCGCGTGCATAAGTACGGGACGGGCGCCGGGCGAGCGGGGCCCATCGGGATCACGGGATAGAAAGATGCGACTAAGGATACGCTGGATACTTGTGCTTAGCACGGCTGCGGTGATCCTCGCGGGATGCGACGCCGCTACCGAGGTAAGTTTCCATCAATCTCTCCGAGTCGCGAGTCGTGACACGCGGCCACGATGCGGCACGACGGGCGGAAAGAGGGTGGAAGAGGAAGAGGAAGAGGAAGAGAAAGAGGCGGCTGGCTGTCTCTCTTCGCGTTTCGCGAGACGAGAGGGACGCGCGCTCTTCGTTTTTTCACGTCTTTCCTTCCATCCATGCATATATCAGCGACGTCGCGTAAGACACGCTCGTATACATACCTACGTATTGTACGACTAAAGGTAAAAGCACACGCCTGCCTTTCCCTCTGTAGCGTTAAGTGTTACGCCGCTATTGAGGCACTCTCGCATTCTTGGCGTCTCGTCGAGCCAGTGGTGTTCAAATCGAGGCCCCCTGAAGTGCCTGAACGCTTTCGCGTTACGATTCACTTCGCGGTCTCTCTTTCGCGCGGGATGCTCCCCTCCTTCTCGTCCGTGATTCTATTTTCAGAAAAAACTTTTCAAAATTCAAACGGTTAAACAAAACGGTCTCGACTTTCGCCGACTTAAAAGGGCATGCGCGCCTGTTTACCGTTCGAAAACAAAAACACTTTTTTTCGGAGCAACATCTGTCAAAGGAGCGCGCCGGATTGGAGAATGACACTCTCCTTCCTCCGTCTCTTCCTCTCCGTCCTCTGTCTCTCCGCGAATTCGAACTTTGGTTCCGGTATATATAATAATAAGCGGACCTTCACGCCGAGGGAGTCGCGCTAAAGATGGAGTTTATCTTCCCGATAGCGGCGTAACGAGGACGTCCGCGTTGTTAGCTTTGTTAATAGAAACTCTGGAAAGAATCGGAGCAAGTTTGGCGCGCGCAATCTTGGCAATTCGCTAACGAGAAAAAGTGGATTTTGAAATTAAGCGTTTGGACGCGCTCGATCTCGGAAGGAATAAACGAACCGCGACAGATGCCAATTTTACGTCGTATCTGTTTGTTTCTTGTTTATGTTTTTATCGTTAAAATTCCCGCGGCCGTTCGTTAATTAGTAAGCGAGAATTCTATATTGTAACTCGCGCCGTGCACGCTTTTTGCATTACGCGGAATAATGGCCGTTCTAATGACGGTGGCAGGGTAATTCGACGGCGGCAAATACGAGAGCAAAATATTTGTAACGTTCTGTGCAGCGCTGGGGGGTTTTTTTTACGATACGCGTTGACTAATGGCTATATATCGTAGCAATTTATAAAGGCACCCGCGGTATCGGTTGAACAAGATATTCGACCAATTTTATCGTCACGTCACGTTACGTTACGATACTTTACGCTCTCGCGTAAAAAGCATTTTCTCGAAAAAGAGGGAGGCAACAAAAATAAAAACGGAGCATCGCGTTTTAGATTTTATTGTCTGTGAAGTGAGGAGGGAGAAAGAGGGAGATCGATCCCGGAGCGCATCACTCGCGTATCGCAACGGAAAAACAGCTTTAGGGTAACCGGCGCGGACGGAGGGATCGAGAGCGCAAGGGCGTAACGTGCTGAATTTCGTGACCGCGAGGCAAAGTTCGTGTTACGATATTTGTCGGCTCGAACCTTCGATATTCCGACGTTTCGCCCGAGAATATTTAAAATCGCTTCTCGGTCGTCGAACAATTAAAACTACTAGAGAAATTCTCATATCTCAAATTACGTTCCCTTGAGGCGTCGAGAGCTTCTTTCTCCCGGTTCGGTCTCTCCGTCACGTTGAAAAAAATATTGTCTCGTGAAAAACGAGAGAAATTCGGCGCGAATACATTTCGGAGGAAAAGCAGCAGTCTCTCTCTCTCTCTCTCTCTCTCTCTCTCTCTCTCTCTCTCTCTCTCGAGCCGAATAACGAGCATAAATCCCGTACACCGCGCTTACACGGAGCGTAGTTACATTTTACAATTGCGAGAGGACCTTTAATGCAAGCGGCGGAAGAAGAGGAGGAGAAGAGAAGAGTCGCGTCCCGAAAGGCCGGCTGGTTTTAGCGGCCGATGAAATATCGCCGGTAATAATCTCGCTGTCTTCGTGCGGAAAATGCATACCTCGGTGGCGCGGGTCGCCTCGTCGCCACGCCGCTTAACTGTAAGAGGAGCTTATAAATATTCTCTCGTATCGCTGTCGCCGTCGCCGCCGTCGTCTCCGTCATGGGTCTTTAGTCGAGAAAAAGAGTCGTTTCATAATAGCGCGAGGTTCGTTATCGATGCGCTTCCGTCGAGTATCGTCCGCTTCATCAAGTTACCCGAAAATCGAAACTCTCTTATAGGTATCCCTCGTGAAATCTTTTCCCGTGCAATTGTTTCAAATTAACGTGACGCATTTATACGCGTCCAATATCGAATGCTACGATACGTTCGCGAAATCCTCTATTTGTTTTCCATGAATCTATGGATCGCGAGAATAGGTCGCCACGTATGTGTGCGCGCGCGTTAAATTGCTTCCCGGTCTCTCCCAACAAAGAAATGTCAATAGGTGACTGCGGGTTCGTTCCGTGAATCCCCGTTTCTTGTTATCGGAATCGGAGAATGAATATACGACGAGCAGACGTCGTACGATAAATAAAACTTGGCTCGGCGATTAAAACAACGATCAGCTGATGGTAGGTTTAATTTCGCACGGCGGCTTGCCGCGTATTATTTCAAGAAAAGCCGCAAGTCGCGTGAGCGAAAAATTCTTCTTGGAAATCTCGCTTTTTTTCGCCAGAAGCAGCACCGAATGTATGACGACAATTCACGAATGATGAACATTAATGGCCTTTTACGGCGACGTCTGATTCGTCCGTCGTTAGATGGTGTCTTGTGGCTGGTATATACTGTACGTATATACTGGTCGAGTTATGTACGCGCGCGCGTGTGTGTCTGTACGCGTGTGAAGAGAACGAGGGCACGTCTTTCGATACGACGCGACGCGACGGTGTGAACCGGTGTATGTACGGCTGATTGTAAGTGTTCGCTCCTTTCCTTCGTCGTATACCTATACGAGTCGATAATTGATAGACAGCAGTGACAACGACGTCGCGTCGTCGTCGTGGTCGACGGTCGATTTCGCTCTCCTCTGTTTCTCTCTCTCTCTCTCTCTCTCTCTCTCTCTCTCTCTCTCTCCTCTCTGCGAGGAAGAAATTAAGTTTGATTAATATCGTAACGCAAGTATGGAGACAGTAACGTCGGGAAATTGCGAGCAATTGAGCATCAAGTGGATTTTTGCGGTATCGATGACGCGAGCATTGGTCGCGCACATTTCGTTAATTATTCGTCCGTTCTAATCGGCTAATATATCGTAGAATACCAGGGCGATTAATATGCAACTTTGCTGGATGCCTATATTCATTTCGCCCGGCAACCTCCATGATCAAACCTGTTCCGTTTGCCGATGCGAGTAAATCGAGACGGATTCTATTTACCTCGGCGAACCATATTGTTCCCGCTTCCAATTATGGTATAAATTTTA